ATAAGAAAACAAATATATATATATATAAGAAAACAAATATATATATAAGAAAACAAATATATATATATATATAAGAAAACATATATATATATGTTTATGTGTGTGTGTGTGTGTGTGTGTGTGTGTGTGTGTGTGTGTGTGTTGTGACTGGGAGGTTTGAGCCTGCTGTGCGCTTTGAGTCTGATGTGTCAGATGACACAAGTTCGAGTGATGAGGAAGGTTTGGCATTGGGATTTGAGCCTGCTTTAATGGAAGATGCAGACGTGAGCCAGGAGGGTGAGGAAGTATCGGAATCATCATCCTCTCCAGAACCGTCCTCATCAATTATGCCTCAGGTGTCAGCAGATGATCGACAGAACGTGCCGGAGTCCTTGGGTGATGATCAAGCTGATGAATGTTGGGTTGATGTAAGGACTAGATGTAGGCTGAGACATCAAGCACAAATTGAAAGGAAACGTCAAATCAGGGACTGAGTAGAGAGACTGACACGCCCCTTCAAGGAATATAAGGAGGCATGTTAGCTTGGAATCCCCGTTCGGATCAAACTTTGTTATTTACGTTCGCAGTTTGGAAAAAGTTTTCTGCTTGCCGTTCGGCTCTGATTTATAGTGCTGCTCGTTATCTGGATTTGCAGACAGCTTCTGGGAAAGCTGCCAACGACGACTTCAGCCAAAGGAAAGTTAACTCTGTTGTTCCTGATATTGTCTGTTGTTTTTTCCTTTGGACATTTGGACTCTCACCTTGTGGCCACAGGTGAGACAGAACACACACACACACACACACACACACACACACACACACACACACACATATATATATATACAGAATATATATATATATATATATATACAGAAGCCTGATGATGGCAGATGAGATTCTGCTGAAACGTTGCTACAACTTTAAAAGAACTACAATGACGTGGGAAAATACCCGAACCAAGCCGAACACCATATATATATATATATATATATACACACACCACCCACATTTTAATGATATTTTTGATTTAAAAAAATGAAGATGAACTTATTTGCAGGTATATATGGGAAATATGGGTACTTTAAAACAAGTATTACAGTATATAGTTGAGGACAAGACCATCCATGGGATAAGTTGACTCTTTTTTGAGGTAAATTTTGGCACCTAAAATTCTTAGCTTATTCATGAGTATACCTGGTATACATTTCAGGAGAAAACTGAAATATACTAGACAGTTTACCGTTGTTGATTATGAAGCTGAACTCTAAAAATACCACAAACTAAACCTTAGCATTTTGGACAGTATTCAGACTTAGCCATGTTCTAAACAGACCTATTTGAAAAAATAGAAATACATTCAGTCTGAATTCAACTATTTGGTTAGTCCAGTACATGCAGCACTTAAATGATCTCTGTTTATATGCTATTCATGCAGTACGTGCAGCACTTAAATAATCTCTGTTTATAGGCTATTCAATCCAATTTCTTTTATTTTCAATCCAGTTTCTTATTCTTTCCTGTGTCTTAATTTTCAAAGGATTCAAGTTAGGGATGGCTACTTTAGAGACAAGTTGTAATAAAATGTTTGAAGCTTACATTTCAGAAAAAATCTTATCACTAATGAATGGAAAAATGTTTTAATTAGAAACCATCTGTGTTCATTAACTATACCTTTCTTGGTAGACTTCATTTGTAGATGTCACATTCCAGTACGAAGGTATAGTCTGTGATTCATATGTAGTTTGGGTATCATTTAAGATAGTAGAGAAAACTGATTCTGTTTTAAAAATAGAATAAAATAATGTTATAGCTTGAAATTCAAAGTGTTTCTAAATCAAGATAAAACTTCCTGTTTTTATATGTTAAAAATCAGCCTTCCATCTGAGTAGCATTATTTGGAATTGTCAGAAACATATCAGAATTGTAGCCGACAGGCTTAAATGTTGGAAACTGAAATCTAAGAGGCCTTCCAATTCTTATATTTTGTTCTAGAAAAAGCAGTGGAAGAATATGACAAACACTATGCAAAGGCCATTTGCAGGTCTGTCATATCTCCCATTGTCTTTGCTTGTTCCACCAGATCCAGCAGGGAAAGTGTGATCCAGGTCCCTTCCATTAAAAAACATGATCTTGTTGGATCCCAGAGTCATGACTTCTCTGTGGTAGCATGTACTCCCTGGAGATTAAAATAGCCATGATCTGGTTAGCCTCTAACTTCTTGCCTACAAAGCATGTGCTTTACCAGTGATTTTCAGCTCTTCCTTTTATAAACATTCTGGACTGCTGACCAGCTGTTCAAAAATTAATGTTAGTTAAACAGCATTAGCAAGACTGCAAGTAGAATCTCACATAATTGGATGTTTTGCCATATTTACAGACAAAGGATATTTGTAGAAAAATAATTCTAATAACTATATTTATACTGTATATAGAGAGATTTTTTCTTTTGGAAATTTTCTTTTGAAAGTTTTCTTTTTTCCTATTTTTAAAAAAATGCAAAATTACCTGAGAAAAAAAGGTCAAATTCAACAGTTTTGTCATTTCTGAATTTTACATGGGCCTTTAATATAAGGAAAACTAAATGTCTTGACAAGTTATACTATGCTGAATTTGATAATCCCCTCAGGCAGATGATAGTCAGAAGGGATTTTGGTAAATTAGTATTAAGTCTACACATTTTCAAGGAATTACAGTCTTTTTGTGAACAGACTTTTTTCAAATCTGCATATGATTCCATCTGCATATATTTTGGGAAGCAGCTTAGTGGAATTTGTGTAAATTATGAATAAGAAAAAAAACATTATTGCAAGTACAAACCCTTGACTGTCTTGAGCTAACAGACAGTTTGAACAAAAGAAAATGACTTGATACCATTTTGATATATTACGTAGAGACAAATAGAACTACAGAATACTTAGGATTCTCAATGTTAATTTAAATCAAGTATAGACAGTTCTGTGCTGATATATATGTATTACTACCAGCTCTGACAGCTCCTCTGTTACCATTGCCATGCCATAAGCTACCAAACAGCTGATTGGCCTTTTTAGGAGTTGTGGCTCAGCTCTTCTTTCAACCAGCTCACAAAACTGCAGGAAATTTAACAATTGCCTCTCAGGAGCTGAAATCTACCAAATGAAAGATGAAAGAAATATAGAATGCAAAACAGTTGAGATGACAGATGGTGGATAGTGAGAACTGTGGGGGGAAGGTGAGACAGAAAAAGTCAAGAAGAGCAAAGATATTGGTAGGAAGATTTATCCAGTGAGAAGAGTCAACCCCTTTAACTCAGGGGTGGGATTCAGTTTTTTTAACAACTGGTTCTGTGAGCATGGCTTAGTTGGTGGCTGTGGCTTGGTGGTCATGTGACAGGGTGAGCATGGCTAACTCAACATCACTCATGTCAAGGGGCGCTTCTCCTCGCCTGGCCTCTCATGACAGTGGGGATGCTGCAATGGTCATAAGTGTGAAAAATGGTCATAAGTCACTTTTTTCAGTGCCATTGTAACTTTGAATGGTCACCAAATGAACTGTTGTAAGTCAAGGATTACCTGTACAAAAGTACAAAAAGCTCTTTGCTTGCAAAAAGCTGCTCTAAATACCAATCATTAGATTAAAAATACCTGCAAGCCAGAGTTACAAATCAGACAGGGTGCCAGAGCACCTTGAGGAATGAAAATAGTTAAAATGCAGTGATAACTATCAAGCAACCAACTCTTGCTCATAAAGTGAAACCCTTTAGCAGAGAGGTCATTTAAGCTCTCCAGAAAAAGCACACCCAGAAAAAGCAATCCTTAGATCCATTTGCACCACTTAAAACTCACTCACCTCACAAGATATCCTAAGGAAATCATCCAGATTTAAGGAAAGGTCACATGCCCCCCAGAAAGGCAGTAAAAAAAATCAGTGCCAAGCTTGCATCCTGCCTCTTGGAAGTATACCGCAAAAGGACAGTGCTAAATAGTACTAAAGCAGTGAAGGAAGACCCCCCCTCCCCAGATAGAAAAAGAAACCATGGGTGTTAGGGATAACATTGGTTACCTAACTTAGTTTGGGTAGAATAATATATAAACTATGTTAGTGAGTTTAAGTGTATGTATCACTTTAAACTTTAAACCAAGTTTTTGGGTGCGGTTGTAAAATCACCATAAGAGGGAGCAAGAGAGCTCACTGTTTGCTCGGCTTTTACTGGAATGCTGACAATGAAGGATTGATGGTGATAAACTGCGTGTTTGCTGAGAAGAAGAAAGGAGGTTTGATTTTCTTCATATCTCTGACTGCAAAAGAGATATATCACAGGACTGATTGATTGTAAGTTTACTGACCTCTTTTTCGACACTGGACTTTGCAAACTGAATAACCCCCGGATGGACTGAACTTAGTGTATGATATATGGACTGTTTTGACTATGCTATAACTCTTGCTGGAATAAAAACTATTTAACTTGCACAGTGTATCTGTCTTACTGAGTGTAAGCTACAACAACGTTTTTATCTCACACATATCTGCCTGTCTGCTAGACTGCCGTTGCACGTTCTGCTAGGGTGTATATCCCTAACAATGGGGCAAGAAAAAATTCAAACACAATACAAATAATTAAATCACAACAGTAGCTGTTGCTTGTTGAAGCTGAATAGGGAAAATTATCCCATCAATAAACACAGGATTAAACATCACCAAGCACAGAATTAACCTTCACAAAAAAACAGTTTCAGTCCAAAACTCAGAAAGGGTATGTAAACTCACATTTGAATGTCAATCCTTCTAGCTAGCCAAGAAGCCTTGCTGAATGTCACTCATCTTGGTTCCCTGTCACTAAAAGCTTTGCTTCATTATTCAATTATTTCTTCAGAGTGCTGATTGTCCAGGGAAGTATTTCCTCACAACAGCAGTGTAAAAAACTTAAAACAACCCTTCCCCTTTAAGAAAGCCAAGCCCTAAAAGCTCCGGAGACAGTAAGTCTAGGCTGTCTGCCAAAAATGTAATAAGGGTGGAAAAAAAACAAAAGAAGATTGCTTCTAACTACCGGTTCTCCGAACTGCTTAGAAAGTTAACAAGGGGTTCTATAGAACCGGATAGAAGCAGTATAATCCCATCCCTGCTTTAACTCCCTTCCAAAGAATGAGATGAACTACTGTTTAAGAAAAATCATCATGGGAAACATGCCAGCTGAGGGTCTACTTCAAAGGAAGAGCAAGAAGAAGCACATTTTGGCTCCAAAAGCCATCATAGGAGTTGTAGAGCTGATCTTGCAGACTGAACCAAAGGTGCTGTTTCAAGAGGCAACTGGACTTCCTGGTTTTTCTTTGAAAATGTTTTGCTTCTCATCCAAGAAGCTTCTTCAGAGCTGAAGAAACTTCTTGGATGAGAAGTGAAACGCCTTCAAAGAAAACCAGAAAAGTCCAGTTGCCTCTTGAAAAAGCATCTTTGGGACAACCATGACCTGCATGACTGAGAATCTCCATAGACATGATGTTGCAGACTTTATGCCCCAGGTGCACCTTCAATTTAAGTCAATAGGTGATTACTACAGTAGCATATTTGCCTTGAGTCAATAGCACAGAGTCAGAAAACTGAATACGTTTAAGGGATTGTACAATGAGGAATCTGTTCCATCTCGGTTTTTCCTCTGCCCCTGTACAGTTTTCTTTTGTGGGACTACAGTTACCTTCTATCATTTTTCTGTAAATGCTTACCTTCCACAACTTGCAGTTGTATAGTTTTCACACTTGCATTCTTGTCCAATATTCTTGTCCCACACACATAGACTCCAGAGTCTTGTCTTTTCAAATCATTTATAGTAACACTGAAAGTTCCTGAGCTATTTCCATTGGTCATAATAATTCGGTGACTGTACTTTCTATTGTTGCTTTTTTTCACTATGGGAGAACAATCAGTATGGATCATCTTGCACAATATTTTGTCCATTTCCAGCCTGGGAGTTTCTGATGGACATTGGATCTCCACTGACCCAGTCAGCTTACCCCAAACAATTTGAGGGGATTTGGGTAAATACCGATCTTTTTCGACTAAAAAAAAAATAGTCAAAGGCTTGATAAATTGATCATCTGATAGCAATGAAACATTATTCAATTCTAGTTATACATTCCAAATGCACAGCAAGAGGAACAAATAAATTAGTATGGCTAGCAATTGTAATCATTCACTGAAATACTTTTTACATATTTTTCAGACTGGGCTTTCAACAGATACCATTAATTTAAATTATTCTAAAAAGTTGTTGCACTTTGGGAACCAGAGCTAAACTGCTCCAGCCACAATCATTCCAGATAGTTTGGATTATTGTTTCAATCATTCCCAGATGACTCAAATTGGAATATCCAAAAGGCATAAGCTTGGAAATGGATGGACAATGTTCATTTAAAATCAGTCAAATAAGATAACCACCAAAGCAACAGCTCTTATTTGTTTGTTGGTTGGTTGGTTGGTTGGTTGATTTTTTCCTATTTGTTTATTTATGTGGTCAATAGTTCACAAAGTACATTGATTATTGTTTCTGCCAGAATATTGTTGGGAACTAAATCAAACATTACAGAAAATTATCTCAATACTGTTTGAGGGGGTTTTCCCCAGACTAAAATATTTGATCCCATTCAGTCCTAGTTTGTTCAAAACACAGCCCTAAAGACAAATCTATCTGTTCTTTAATAAATCACATGGCAACTTCCCAATCTTGCAGTTATAATTTATTTGTTATCAGTGATTCTAATCAATCAGGTAACTCATTAATAATGACTTAATACATTTAAACATTGAGCTAATAAATTCAAAGAAATAAATAAAATTAACACATTTCCTTTGTGATTTGGTTTTATGCCCAGTATTACTAGACTGTGATAACCACAATATATCTTTTTAATAATTTTATTAGTAACATACTGTCACATTTAATTTTACAGTTTTAAGGACTGTCTCATCCCAGTCATTTCTGCCCATCCTACCCAACCTGGTGGTATTGGGTGTGGGGGCCAAGCGGGAAGCCTTTTCTGCCATGGTGTCGCTTTGCAGAATATCATTCCTCTGGAGATTAGATTGCCCCTTCCATTGGCTTTCTATAAGGACTTGGAATCTTGGCTCTGTGCTTGACCCTGGAGATGGACTCCTTTTGGTAGTTGTGTCAAGTTCCTGGCTGCTCTGTATTTTTACTGTTTTTGTATATGTATCATTGTTGGATGCCCAGAGTCATGTATTTGGGATAGGCATACACATCTAATAAATAATACGTATATTGTGCACCAGACACAACCCTCTGGGAAATAACTTTCAGATCTGAGGTGCCACCAAAGAGAATTCTCCCCTCCAGGCAGCAACCACTGTGGCCATAGCTATGCTGTGCCCTTAAATTGGGCTTGCCCTGTGTCCACACTAGGCTGAGTTTAATCCTAAGAAACAATGTACAAAGTATCCAGACCAAACTGCCAGTTACCACATCTTCAAAATTCCTCTACTTCTGGGCCCTATTAAAAAGGAAGTGGGAATTGCTTTCTATTGGTTGGTCATACTGGAGATAAATAACATTACATGTATATGTGTGTCAAATATAAAACTTGCTTACAAAGTTAAACTCATATGTATAAACATAAAACATCAAAATGTACATATATGCACGCAAAACAAGATCTTTAAAATAAATTTTTTTCTTGTATTTTCCCTGTTTTTCCTCATTTTCCTCCACACCTACAATATTACAGCAGTCTTTTCTCACCATTACAGTGGTTATAACACTTGCCTGTCACATAGAATGTGTTTCATTTGTAACACAACAAGAAATGTGTTCTGTGTGTTTTAGTTACTACGTTTCTCTGCCTGAATTGCTTATTTTTATGCTTTTTCTAAAAGAAAAATGTCCCTTGAAGCATTGTGGACTGTACTTACAATAGTATAATGATACACATACATGCAGGCCAAATGTGTAACTTTACCATCGTAATCAGTATGGTTATAATAATATAATATAATATAATAAAATAAGCATGGTTAAATATGGATGTCACTAGGTGCAAAGAGATTAAAGGAATTTGTATAAAATAATTTCCTAAAATGCAATTAGTATTACTAGTATTGCTTATTTTATATAAAATTGTTTGTTCCTTTCCCTTCTTTGAATCAAGTGATAACCATATGTATCCAAAATCAAGTTGATTACATACAAAATAATAGGATTAGTATTGGTAGTACTAACTCTATTATTACTACTTGATTTTGTAATATTTTAGTATAAGTCATCATACTTGGAGAAGAATGCATCTATAATATTTACTTACCTTCTAAAATTGTTAAATTCACCCTAGCATACAAACCATTATATATTTTGCCAATACCACATCTGTAATAACTGGAATCTGTCTTTTTCAGCTCTCTTACTGTCACTTGCAAAATCCCTTGTTGAGGGTTGTTGTACATTGACACTCTTTCTTTGTAATTTTGATCAATGAAAGTACTGCTAGAAATGATAGTTTGACAGCTTTTATGTGGCAATTCCTTGCACAAAAATTTTCTGTCATGCCTATTCACTGATGTGGGTGCATAATAGCATTTGATTGTCACTGATCCACCAACATGACTTATCAGTAGCCTTGGTCCATATAATGTGCTTGAAACTATTTTGAAGAAAAAGAAGGAATGGAGTCAGCATATTATTCCCCCCAAAAAGGAGAGAAAAATAAAGATTTTCTTTCAAATACAAGTATTTGAAAGAAAATTAATAATCTTAACCCAGATCCAGTTAAACCAGATTAAAACCTTAATAATCATGAATTGCTAGAACATATTTTGTTTATTACAGTTATTGCCATATAATCTCATTTGACAGTAAGTACGGGAAAATAGGAGTTGCTGTCTTGAGTTATTTACAAAAATAATAAAGGTGAGACATAAATAATAAATAAATACATAAATAAATAAAAGATTGAGTGGTTGATATACATAGGTAAACTACAAAAAATGAACCCCCAAAATTAGTCTGGGAGTTGCTTCACACACACACACACAATTGCTGTTTTAAGGATGCTAACAAGATAAAAGTTCTGGCTACTCACCATGTATCACAGTGAACAAAATAAAGATAATCAGCATCCTGCTTGAGTTCAGAAATATTCAAGAGGAAAAATATCTGAATTGGATGGCAGAAACAGAATAGATTCCAAGCTGTCTTGAAATGCCTGATAGAGATATAAAAACCATTTAACATATTAGAGATCAAAAAGAAAAGACGTGGTATCTCATTCTGAAGATCTGTAGTCCAATTTTCTCCATCCCTAGAAACCCCTGAATTTTGCTTCCACTTTTAATTAGTAACCATATGAAAACGACAGTATACCAAAATAATACTACTTTCAAAAACAAAGAATTCCACCCAAATTAGAAAAAAAAGAGAAAATTGGTCTGTATGGCATTGTCACCCATCATTTTGCATCATTAGATTACCCACTGTGCCTTTTACTCCCATTGACATCATTAACTCCAGGAGAGAGAGGGGAGACAGGGAGAGGGAGGATGGAGGGAGGGGGGGGGAGAGATTCAGAGAAACTGAGTTCCAGTGAAATTCAGTATTTAACATTCACGAGCAGCAATGGGACATTTAATTAAATGCTTTCTGCAGAAATAAGCAGCTTTCCCAAAGGGTTTATTTCCTTCCAAAACTTCTCCAAATTCATTTGTAAGATCAACTTCTTTTCCCTATTTTTTCTGTTGCTAGAACTTCTAAATAACATTGCCAGCAGAGGAATGAAAACAATATTTATGTTCAACATGTTATCCTCAGGACTCCATCTGAATTAAACATTTTAATTTCTATTGAAGAACATCTAAAACACAGGTGTCAAACTTGCGGCATCACATTGCCATCATAATTACTAATTTTTCCCCTTCACAGAGCTGCGCATGATCTGGCCAGTTTGGTACCCCTGATCTAACAGTATATTGAATCCTACCTGGAATCCTACCTGGAATCCTACCTGGAATGTGCAGTCAAGCACTGATTATTCTAATCAATGCTTGGCTGCACATTATCTAGAGCATTTAACCATACCGTCAGTTTTTATCCACTGAATTCAGAGCTATTTAAACAAATGAGCTTACTCATGTCTGAGTCCTTTGGTAGCTTCTCTTTTGGTGATTAAATTGGGTGCAGTTATACTTTACATTTCAGCCACAGTCAAGTCAGGTCAAAATCAAATCCTATGTGTCAAATCCTAATCTCACTAACTTTTACTATGCTCCATCTCCAAACTCTTTTCTCTAAATGTAAATAATAATTCATACCAAAAGTTCAAATTTGATCAGGTTAGCACATATTAACGCCCAGCCTATATAGTTCAATTAGGCCTGAAGCTCTCTGCCACATAAATTAATCTCTCCCCATTTGCCTTAAGGCCTAATCTTCCTGTAAAAAGGAATTAAGAGATCTTTAATGTTTCTATATACCCTTGTCTCATATGCAAAGGCCAACCATTTAGCATTACTCCCATTATTCTTCTTCTCTAAGGAAAAGAAACATTATTTAGGGGAAGGTTGTAAGCAGTGATGGAAACCCCTCAAACCCCTCAAACAGGATTATTACAAAGTTCCATCTCTTGCCAAGTAGAGTAATTCATGTTCAGCTTCATTCTTTCCATTCCCCACTATCCAATCAGAGCTAAAGAAGTGTCTTGGATGAGAAGTGACGCATCTTCAAAGTAAAACCAGAAAGTCCAGTTGAAAAAGCACCTTTGGGACGTGTTTAGTTCCAGTTTTTTTATGCAAGCAGTCTGTCAGGCCAGAAATCTGTCTAGCATAGCCCTGTCTTCTATAGCATGGCCATTTAAAAGGAGGAAGCAAGAGCCATGGCAGTCTACTGAGAATTTACAGAATACATACATGAATAATCTTGATACAACCTTTGCTGCTATTATAAGATAAATTGTATTCATGAAAATGTCATCATTATTTCTCAATCTATGTCTGTATGTATTATGTCAATCTAATGCAAATCTGCATTCTATTTTTTCTCCTTTTTTGATAATGCAGAAATGAGTCATGTAATTTACAGCACACACTAAGACTCTGTGGGTCACATCCTAATGCAGCAAGTATGCAGGGCAAATTTATTTTATTTAGTCATCTTCCAAAAATTATGTCTTCCAAAAATTATGCACAGTCAGTCTCCCATTTTTAAATGGAAACTGCAGAATGTTATATAAATACTTTGATAACATTGAAAAATAGCCTTGATAAAATTGGGTCTTTGGTTTGAACACATAATGCTGCACCTATTTACTTGAAGTCACCTTATAATCAAGGTAACCCAAACTGAGACAGGGCTGAAGTGACTATTGCAATGGACTCTGGAACTCCTAATCCTAATCCTAATTCTAATCTAATCAAGTTTTTGTTTTTATTAAATTGATCAATTTGAATTGAAACAGGAGAAGAATTAGCTTGTTTCCTATGCCAAACATGGGCACCCTGCAATCCCATTGGAGGCCCCAAGTCCCCTTTTAGTGGTCATGGGAATTATCTCTGACCATGACTGCTGAAAATTGACAGCATTGTTGCGCCTTGTTGAAAAAAATGAGACTGGCAATATAAATCCTCAAACAGGATTATTACAAACTCCCATCTCTAAAACAAGCTTCATTCTTTATGTCTGGAATAACCTCATTCACTTTGTCTCCAAGAAACAATTTTGCTCTTTGCCCATCAAAACTTGCTTGTTCATAACTAACACTATTGTTGTAGTTAAGATTCCACCTCCAAAAGCTGCTATGTAAGATTCACTTTTATACTTTTAATAAAGTAATACTTAGTAACATCAGCATAATAGTTAGTTAAGAGTTTTGTTAGTCAATGTGATCTCATGCATGTTTACTTAAAATAAATGTCCTTGTGATCAAGAAGTCTAAGACATGCTTATGTTGCAATCCTGCTCAAGTGACCACAGAAGTAAGATTCATTGTATTCATTATGCCATGCTGCCAACATGCTACTAGTTTCAGGAAAAACTCATTTTTATAAAATACAATGTACATTTTAAATATAATTTACCATATGCCTCTTTGCAGTAATTTCAACATGATGTTATTCAGAAAAAAAATATTTGTTTGATATTTCCTTTCCATGTAGAAGCTTGCCTTTCACTTACCTAATGATGACTACTTCACATACCTCTATTTTCCAGATAGTATCTTTGATGGTTGCATCACTGACCTAGAAGTCCACAAAATACAGATTATAAAATTTTTGTTGCATTCCAAAATATATCCTTACTATAGCTAATTCATTTCAGTCCAGCCATTCAAAAATGTTGGTTTCATGCTATATCTTCTTCAGCAATTAGGCTACAAAGGAAAACAGTTGCGTATTTAAGAGGAAGCCACAACTTTAGCTTTATATATCTCAATTACCACCGTCTGTAGTATAATGAAGTTCTTGATTCAAAGAAGAGGAAGGACCTGAGGTCATAATGAAACAAAATCCCCTGAAGATGGACAAGCTGCAGAATTTATTTTTTTAAATCTAAGTTTAGTGTGATATATTGGCACTTATTTCACAAGTCAGCAACTTAGTTCATAAGGTCATTTCTCTTGCTGCTCACCACATATTCTGTGTCTGACTTTACGTTTTAGATTCTTATAATTTTTAAAAATGATTTTAAATTCTTTTGATTCAAAACAAACAAGCTAAACCTGGGAATGTAGGAAGCTGCAAAAGCCCTTCTGCATTATCATTATTTCTAAAAAAAAATCTGGGCTTCCTGTAGACTACTGGGGTATTCCTAGACAAGAAAAAAGATGAGGAGATGCTGCCTGCTACTTTAGGAAAATACCTACTTAGTTACAAAAAGGGCAAACAAAGGAGAGGTGGTAGAGAGAATTCTTGAAATGAGAGGAAGTAGTAGAAACCGAGCAACCTTTCCAATTGGCTATTAACTAAATTGGTGCTTTATGGCTGACCATATCACTATGACAGCCATTTGGTGTATATGTAAAATCCTGCATGTGGCCCTTTTGTGAGAGTGTTCCTGTTATGTCTCAACTTTGTAAATGTGTCTCCAGGCCTCCAAATTTGCCTACATTTTACATACATCATAAGTCTTCTATTAAAACTATTCAAGAGTGTTTTTTTTAAAAAAAAAAAAAAAGCTTAAGAGTTTTTCAATAGTTTTCTTTTTATCCAGGTAGAAAAAATTGTAGTACTATTTGAAAGTAAAAAATGAGTATAAGTAACTAAAAGAAAAGACACGGAAGAAATGTCTATTTTCTTTATCAGATGATTGCAGGACATCCAATTAAAAATGCAGAGTTTAGAAATAGTGTTTTCTTACATGTGGTCTGACCCTGGGGTTCCCCCAATAATCTCACAAAGGTCTACAAAATCAAAATTATTTGCCAGCCTATGGTAATTACAATATTAAAATCCCAACAAACAGTTAGAAGAAGTGGTAATGGCAGCAAATTCATCTATTTTTAATATGATAAATGTGAATAAGTATAACTTGAACAAAAGCTCTTTTGGAGTCTTCCATAATTTTTAAAAGTAGGAAGCTGTCCCTAGAGGAAAAAAAACATTTAAGCAACATTGCACTTGAACATTTATAAGTTCCTTTTTTAAATCATATCTCTTTATGATCTACAGATAGGAGGATTCTACTGGGGCTTTGGTATTATTTTCAGCTAAATACACTTATACTGTCCAGATTTCAGTGTGTGAGTGAGGGGGAAGCCAGGTGAAATGATGATGGGAGAATTTCCTTGGTATCTTAAATTGTTGTAGCAAGATAAAAATCTCACAAACACTTGACAGGACCAATAAGCCTTTGGAAAGCAAAACAATAGACAATGAGAAAAGTATAGGATATATTTTTCATTCTGTAAACATTGGATATAATAATTATTGCATTTCAGGCCTTAAATAGAAATAATAGATGTACTGGCAAATACCACTTTAGACATTTGATGAAAAAGGAAACTTCAGTTTTATATACTCATAAAATAAATCAAAGACAGCTTCACATATGATTGTGTATTATTTTTAATGTATAGGCAAACAAAATAATTTCTAACATATGTAACCCTAGTTTGCCAGCCATTGATTGCTGATACCATTATAAACTGTATTCCTTTTGCATAATCAAAATTGTCTGAGTCTCTTATAAAAGCAACAACAGCCATTTGAGGTATATTTAGGGATATTCCAACTTGCAGAAGACTTCCCCACCCCCCAATCATTTGATTCAGTCAATGAATTACTGGAAGAAGTATCAAAATACAATGCTCTCTATGGCACAAAAACAACAGAGAACTTAAAATGAATGATGTGGCTTTAAAACTAGGAAGATGCAAAAGTCACCAAAAGAGGTATCTGGTTTCAAACAGAGGGTGTTTTTTTTACCTCAATTGCTTATTCTCAATATAAATACAAATTTTTAATTTTTCAGTATGATTGCTCAAAAAAAATGGAGTAGATAATTCACTTTGGGGTGAATTGGGGATATTCAACACTTCAAAATCTTTTCAATGTCTTCCTTTCATTCACAACAGAATGAAGGAGGTTATAGAAGCACTGGAAGAGGCAATAGAGGAGATTTTTGAGGTTTCTCTATGACAGTAAATAAAATTTATAATATTTTTATTTTAAAAAAATATATTGGGATTATGGGACTTTAGAAATCAGTGCACGTGATTTCTAAAAGGAGATGACTCCCATGAATGAAAAAGGTCCTGTTATTTTCATTTCAAAGGATAATTTCTTTCAAGAGGACACTGGGCATGTTCCCAAGTTCCCTAATCTCTGGTATGCAGATAAGGAGCTCCTTGCTAGCTCACAAACACCTGCTAATTGAAGGATTTCTCCAGTCTTTGCTATCCCCTTCCCCAAGAACCTTTAAGGAGGGTGGTTCTATTCCTTGGTAGAGAGGAGGCAGAAAGAGAAAGAAATAAATTTGATCTGTGGAAGTGCCTGTTTGATAATATTGCCTGCCCTTGATTGAACTAATACTTTAGAGTAGCATAGAGATAGTAACTGGCTTCTTTAGCAGCTGGCTTTATGTTTGGATCCCCAAGTAATAGATTATAACCAAGATCTTCTTTTATCTCCCTATATTTGACACTATTCTTTTATAACACATGCTTATATTTGTATGTGTACCTTTCAGTCAATTTTTCCCAACAGTTCCTGTTGGCAAAATTTCAGCCATTGTTTGCCATTGTTTCCTTTATATGTCAGAGAGGGAGGGAGGGAGAGAGAGAATGTCCAACTGACGATAATTTTCATTCTCTTCTGGTTTTTATACTGATGCTTTAAATGGCTCCCTGCACCATTCAATAGCATACAAACTATAACAAAAAGTTATGCAAGACAATCAGTTTGGTGTGCTGGTTTGGTTACAACCCCAGGCTAGAAACCAGGAGACCGTGAACTCTAGTTTTATTTTAGGCATGAAACCAGTTGAGTGATTTTGGACCAGTCACTCTCTATCAAACCAATTCTGAAACCAGTTAAAAAGTCTTGCCAAGAAAACCATAGAGATTTGCTAGGCAGTCACCAGGTGTCAAGATTGAATGGAAGATTAAAAAAAAAAAAGTTATGCAAACACAATAGCAAGCCAAGAATCTATGTAAAAGGTATGAAAAATGAGGCATGACATTTTGCAGCAAGTTATTTCACATAGACATGTATCACAATATTCTCTTGAGAGGTAAGAAACAGTATGCAAAATAACAATAAAAAGAAAATGAAAAAATGTAAATCATGTGGTATGAAAAAGGAAATTTTCTTATATCTGATTTTCATCAACATTATTCGTTTCTATTCTCACAAAACATCCTTGTTTCTACCATGTCCATATACTCGTTTATATGTTGTCATTTATTCTTTAAACTTTTCATGTCTTTCTTTCTGAGGATGAATATGATTCAACTTTCTCTTCTTCCTTCTGGTAAACCATTCACTCTTACTTCATACATTTGTTTCTAACACAGTTGATTTTCTCTGTAAGATCAAATCAGCACAATATACCTTTTTCATAGTGGTCATTCATTTTGTATTAAACAAATACTCTTTCACTATCTATTCATTCTTGACTCTTCTTGATCCTGCTTTACCACATAGACTCCATAAGTACTTCTTTGCCACTGCATTCAACTTTTATGTTTCTACTGACATACACAACACTCACTTTCATATAACAAAGTAGTCAGAAGGGTGTTCTTACACACATCAATTTTTGCTTCTTTTGACAAACTTACATTTTATCCTACAGGCAACATACTATCTACAGGCGGTCCTTGCTTAATAATCACTCGTTCAGTGACAGTTCAAACTTGTGATGGTGTTGGTAAAATGCTTCTTGCAGAATACAGAATAACAAGAGTTGGAAGGGACCTTGGAGGTCTTCTAGTCCAACCCCTTGCTTGAGCAGGAGATCCTATACCATGATGGACACTTTTATTTTCATTTCATTCTCTGCAAAACTTCTTGTTTAGCAGTTTTTAGCCATTTCCAAATAGTGTTGGATTTTCATAAAACTATCCCTAAATTTTCTCTGCCTCTTTTAGATTTAATTGATTATATGACTTTGTTTATTATATCACTTATTCTTTGTACATAACAAGATATCATTGCAGTTTCTTGCAACTAGTAATACAGTCCAGCATTTCCAGTATTGAGTGATATTTGTATCCTATTGGTTTGGAGGGCTGATTCTATCACACTGTAGGAAATTGCTGCCATCATATGGCCATTGGAAGATCTTCTTTATAAATATCAAATTTGCACAACTGTTGCATATACCTACAGCTTTTTCTTACACTAGAAGAGCAGACTATAGGTCAGCAAATTTTGTTCTCCCCAGATCAAAATCCTTTGCATATTTTTATATTAACATGATGTTTTTTTGTCTTCCAACTCAAATGGTTTTTAAAAAAATACCATATATTTGTATACATCAGCTCAAGGTTGACTCAGGCTTCCATCCTTCCAAGTTTGGTAAAATGAGGACCCAGATTGTTGGGGGGGCAATATGCTGACACTGTAAATTGCTTAGAGAGCGCTGTAAAGCATTGCAAAGCAGTATGGAAGTCTAAGTGCTATTGTTATATCCTTAAAGTTATTTTCTATGTCCAGAGATTACAGTATAATGAACCCTTTCAATGATATATATTCTTCATTCAAAATATGAAATTATTGATATTTATGC